TCATAGTTACTTACTACACATTTGTGTATAGTGGCTCTGAAAAATATACAGCTCACTCCTTCCTTGGAAAGATGACAGTGCAACCCTTATTAGAATTGCTCATTAAAGAAACATCTACTCCAGAAATGAAATGCCAACAGAAAAGTGAGAAAAAACAGATGAGAAAGATGGAAATAGATGGTCTCAACCTTTAACCTTGTGTCAGGAATTTATTCTGCTTCTTGAAACATTTGTGGTTTAGTCTTCTGACTCAGATTTTCCGAGGGCTTTTATAATCTTTCAGTAAAACACCTGTTGGTTAATCCTTTGTTATAATCTACCTTGGATCACATCATGGGGAGAAGAGCTGATGGATATGCTCCCTGGCAGGATGAACCACTCATTGGACCCTGAGCAGGACAGCCAGGGGTCAGGACAGCGGTGACACGAGCTGGCACAAGACCAAAGGTCCTCTTCCCCCAATTCTAAAGCAGACCAGAGGATCTGTGCTCCCTCCCTGCATCCTCCCTTGAGGACAGATTATATGCTTCTGTTTCCTATACACACAGCCTAGTTTATTCCTTTTTCTTTTCAGAGCTCCCTATTGCAACACATAGCAAATAAAACTGTGCAATGTTTTGCCGTGACCAGGCCAAAAGCTACACGTATGCCTCAGTAGTCTGATTCTACAAGCAGCAACATTTACTCCAGTGTAATAATGCTGTTTAAAATGTGGTGAAATTGTGCATTTCCACCACCTAAATCACCACAGACATTCTGCACTTTCGTGGCATTTGGTCTTTTTCTCTCTGTGTTTTTAAAATAATGAATGTATAGATTCCTAAGAAAACTAAAAGCTGCCTCTCTCTTCTCAGAAAGGATAGAGGACGTAATTTTCATGAAATCAAGCTAAGGTACAACATACAGCTATACTGATGTAGAGATATAAATACATACCAATAGGAGTTTTATCTTTCTCCCTCCACTTTATTTCTTCTTTTTTCCCCCCTTTCCTTTAAGTTTAAAATAATAAATACTGTTTTGTCCAGTTTAAATATTAGTTTCTGTTGCTGAAGAGCAGCTTCTGTTGTCAACATAAATATCTCAGAACAAAAGCAGACCCTGTATTAGTGTAAAGTAAAAGTAAGGAGGTGTGCATAGACCATAACATCTTCAATTCCTTCCATGTGTAGCCTATCCCAAAATTATCTCTCAACATATTTGTGACAAACATGAAAACTCCTGTCTCCTAACATTCATCTGCAGAGCCTTCTTTTACTTTTGTGGCTTGGAAGGTTTGTAGCACCGTATGCAACATCCTTGCTCAATCTGCAGGCTGCAAACGCCCCAATCCGTAGAGAGCTTCTTAATGAGGTGCTCTTCCAGAAAATCTACTAAAGATCTACTAAAATCTACTAAAAATCTACTAAAGTGGCATTTCCCACCCCCCCCCCAGTCCCCCAGTCTGGAGGTACCTCAGACATAGGACATTAATTAAGGGTAAACTGAACATGTAAATGGTGATCCACTGGTATAACATGAAAATCTGACACACTGCAGCCTAAAATAGCACTTTCTACCCTCTGAACTATAGATTCAGATATATATATATCTATACATAGATACATATTGATATTTTCATCCCTTTTAATATTTTTTTTCCCCCCCAAACAGATAGTAAAATTGCTTTAAAAAGGAAAAAGAGACAAAATGTAAGAAAATTCCTAAAAATCGAACTGGTCTGGCTTATGTTTGTGTGTTACTAAACAGCTGCTGAGGATTTGTGTAGCTTGATACTCCAATACCTCCCTAATGCCATGGGAAGGATGCAAATCCTCACTCCACCCCCCAAAATAGTTTTATTTGGGAAACCTCATGCTCTTGGAATAAACAAAAGCATTTATTGCAACGGAAGAGAGAAACCCAGGGATCCATGGGGATATAAACCGTCACAACCTTTGCTTTCTTAGACTGATTAGCAGTTCTTAAGCTTATTAAAGGTGACAGGGATCTCTTAGGAAAATAGATTAGGGATTTGGGATCTCGTAGAGAATTTTTTTCCCAGACTGCCTGTGGGCAGACTCTCACTTGTTTTTTAGTCTTTACAAACATTTAGCATTGGTTGCTTTCTGTGGAATTTCTCAAGGATGGAATCCCTCGTTTGAATCAAGCTTCTTAAATCAAAGATCCTTTGTGAGTGGATTTGTTGTCAGCACTCTTTAAACAGGAGCACATGAAAATCAAAGTTTTGACTGCTGGCACAGTGCAGCAGTCAAATGGCCTTCTCAAGGCTGTAACTTGTTCAAGCTGAAACATCCACAGCACATCTCCTGATGGAGATGGAGCACCAGGAAAGTGTCTGGGGAGGAGGGAAGACTTTTCCTCTATCTGACAGTCTTCCCATGAAAAGCAATCTGCCCTTTGCCATAACCTCAGAAAAAGCCTTGCTTGGCTTGTTTCTTCCCAGCTTCCTTTTTCTATGGGAGCAAAGGAGTGCTCTGCAGTGATGAAAGCAAGAATGACCCCCAGAGAAGTGTGAACACTGTCCTAATGACAAGAGTGAAGGTGAGCAATCCATACATCTGCAAGAATCTGGAGCAGGACTCAATCCACATTCTCAAACTGGATATACTCAGTTGATTCCTTGCAAATTTCTGTACTTGAGTTTGTAGGAGAAATTGCGTCCTCAGCCAGGGTTTTCTAAAGGAAAGAATTTGTTTGTATGGTTCCAAGACAAGGAAACAACAAGTGTGTTCCTTCTGTAATGTTTTTTTGGATAGTCCAGTGTTACCTGCACAGCACAGATACCCTAATCAGCTTGGCCAACAGAAATAAGATTGATCCATTTTTTCATCTAGACACTGCCTTTATCTAAAGGAATATGCATGGATAAAGGAGAAAGCAAAACAACAAGATTAAAGCACAGTTTTGTAGGGTTTGTGCGTATTTTACACTGTAAACACATAACCACCCACACTGTAATTTTAGCAATGCAACTGCTGTCAAACATTCTTGAAAATACTGACACCTGAAGCCAGATCCAGGGCTGCCTGCTTAATTATTACTCTCAAGCAGTGGAAAAGAAGGAAAGTATTTTTTTAATTGAAGAATAGAAAGTATTTATTAAAATGTAAACAGTACAATCAATTAGAGGTTGTATTCCCCACAAAAAAAAAAAAAACAAACCAAAAAGCAGCTTCAGAAATCCAGAACATTTTAGCACAAATGCATTTTAATTTATTTCCAATAGTGAAAACAGGAAACAATTATAGAAAAAGCATCTGCTGCTTTTTTATTATTTATTTAACATTTCAGTAATGCCACAGCTACCTTTGAGTAAAGCATCAAAAACCTCCCATAAACTCAAGATTCCTATCAGAGATCCTCCCCAACTTTCTCTGCTGGCTTCAGGGAACCATATTTATCACCTGCTGAGACTTTTCTATTAACTAGGCAAATTCTAAATTAAAGTGAACTATTATTATTTGTACATCCCACTCGTTAGTAATTTCCATATATTTACAGCATGCCTTGCTTGATTTTCTAAAATAATAATAATAATAAAAATGTATCAATGTAAAATATCAAGATTTAAGCCAATGAGACAAGGACTAAATTGCAAAGATTGCCTCCAAGTTCAAAAGGGGGACCAAAACTGAGAACTGAGGCAGAGATTTATCTGAAACCAGATTTATATTCAGCCAGTTCTAGTGCTCATGGAAATGGCATCTGTATGTTCTTCTGCAACAACGGAAATGTAGTTCAAGCAGAAGGGAATACAGCACCCAAATTGAACTAGACTTTACCTTTTGAAGCCTATTTCAGATTTACAATCATCAAAAAAAATTTAATAAGTCCTTGAAGAAGAAGGAAGAAGCCTAAATATTTTTGCCTTCCATTCTCACCTCCTGAATCTGAATTATCCAGTTAGTCAAAACTCAAATTATCTTATCTAGCAATTACTGTATGTTATGACTTGTCATGCTACACTGTTACATGATAATGACTTTTTTAATTGTTTTTTAATTTATTTTTTTTAAAACTTATTGCTGTTTAGAATAAAATCATTGAATAGTTTGGATTGGAAGTGACCTTAAAGATCATCTTGTTCTAATCCCCCTTGGAGCACCTTCCACAAGACCAAGTTGCTCAAAGTCCCATCCAACCTGTCCTTCAGTTCAAGGAACAGCTCAAGGAATGGAGCATCCACAAGTTTCTCTAAAACATCCTTATTTTAAAAACTATAAATCATGTAAGTAATCAAAGTTACAATCATTTATTGGGTCTAAATGGGAGAAAAATCAACATAGGCTATTGTTTAAGGAAAAAAAAATATTCCCTTTGTAGTTTGCATATTTTCTCAAATTTATCATTTCTTTTCTAAGTATTGAACTGCTCATTTTTTTCCCCTTCAAATATCGTGCTCATGCTTCATTCACAATGCCAAACAAAAGCCAGTTGACTCTTAGTGATGGATTACCTTATGATTACAACAAAGCAAGAGCCTTACAACAACTGTTTCCTTCCAGTTCCTTCAGGCCATGTAAATTTGCATGTAAATTAATAAACTAAAATGGTGGGTGCAAAACTCAAGGGAATGAAGATAATTTCCTGTTACTCTAGCAAGCTGGATTTTTTTTTTATTTTTTATTATTCCCCCAGTCCTGGACATTGTGGCATCTTTCTTTCCTTCTGGATGGAAAATTCTGCCAGACCTGCTATGTTTTGCTGTTGAAAGAACAGCAGTGTGTTTAAGAGTTGCTGCAGAAGTGCAATCACAGCTGCAGGTCCTGGCTCACAGGCTCTCAGGGTTCTGCTAAAGGCTGCACACAAGTGTCCCACCTCCCAGCTCCCCAGCATCCAGCCACAGCCACAGGCTTTGGGTCTCTGCTGTTTAACATGGTATAAATACATGGGTCAGACAAAACGACCATGAGACATCTGATATGAAATATCACTGCTTGAAATACCAATAATGGGGAAAAATGAGTAAGAAAAGTGACATCGAAAGTGTGTCTTACCATAAATTCCGGTTGAAATACAGGGAAAGGCCTGGAAAACAAACAAAAGGGAAAAAAATATCAGTGGGATTTCTGTTTACCATACTTTTTATCGAAACCAAGAGTGTTTTTAAGGGCCTGTTTTACAACACCCAGAGACTGTATATTGTAGCATTCACTGATACAGCAGTCAAATCACCAGCATTCTCATGTCATTATATGAAACATATTCCATGTGGTTTTTTTGCTGCCACAATAGTAAGGCTGCATTCTTTTACACATCTTGAGCTACAAGCAACATTTAAACACAGAATCATTTTTAAAACTACCTGTAGAGCTAAAATTTAATGCTATGAGCTAAAAATGAACACCATCACCTACTACAGTATCAAAAAAAATAAAAAAAGGTAATATCATCTGGGTAGAGTTAGACAATGTTTCTTCATCAGTAAAATAAACTTGGCCAGCTTAGACTATGTTATGCCTCTTAGCCATGCCCTCATTCACTATAATCTCCATTTTTGATTCTGTTCTTGACCTCAGTTCTTTCAGATGTGGTTTATGGTGAGACCCAACACAGTTGTACAAGCCAAAGGTTTGCAAACTGGTTCTGAGGGAGGAATTGTAAGATGCTGGTGAAAAGAAAGAGTACATTTTTGGGGCAGCTTGGACACTAAAGAATATACATCATGCAACAAGAAATATTACAGACACTGTGCCAGCAAGAAAAATAATTTACATTTCTGCTAAGCTGTATGTGTTGTCTTGAGATTTGCATTTCTGTGAGCCAGAGTCAGTTTTCCACCAGGAAAAAAACAAAGCTGTCATTTCACGAGAGAGGCAATTTTCTTTGTGTTCAGCTGATATGTGATATCACCTTTGCCTCCCACCTCTGGACTGACAGCAGACACAGCTCAAAGGTATGAGAGCACCTGGGACCAAAGTCTCAAATATCCACCCTGAGGCTCCCCTCCAGATCCCCCAGCAATGAGTCATCATACAAAAGAAAGAAATTCTTCTTTACTTAATCACACAGGAAAACATTATTCAAAGCTAATGCTTGCTTTATATTTAACCAGGGAATTAATTAGGGAATGGTGATTAAGAAAGGAGAGGTCTAATGGAAAGAATACATCCTCCCCTCCCCTCCCCTCTGAAAATACTTAACTAAAATAAAGTGGAGGAGAATTATAGTCTCATTCCTTCTCATAGCCACTACAACTTACATCCTGAAAAGTACTTAGCTTTGTAGTTTGTACCCAATAAATCACAAGAATCAGCTCTTTAAAGAAATGAAGAATAGAGTAGAAAAAAGAAAAAAACAACCACCATATGGTTACAGAGCTCAGGCTGAAGGGGCAACAGATACTTCAGCAATCAGAGAAAAGCATAAAGGACAATTTTGTCCAGTTTATAAAAAGATCTTAAAATTCACCACTGTTGCAGTTCCACATATTAAGAGATAATTGCTCCAAACAAGTGTTTTGTTTTCTATTCTTTGCAGAATTTGAGTAACAGCATGGGACTCAGATACTCATTTGCATCAGAAAACGAGTAACAGAGTTATTCAGTTACACGTTCCTTCTCTTACATGGTTCCTTCTCTCACTGGCCCCACAACCAGTAAGGGGGAACAGTCCTGCAGCACCTCCAAAGCTCCATCAATCCCATGGCTCCTTGGGCCCTCATGATGCTTTTGGGACACAGTTCCACTACTAACTTTGGATCCCCACATGTGCCACAAAGCCACCCAGCCAGGACCTTGGGCTGGAGGTCCAGGGTTGCCCCCAGGTCACTGCAGGTTCATCACTGCTGCAAAGCAAAGGCATCCCACTGGCAGGCATCTAATCAAGATCACAGATCCTTAAAGTTGTAAAAGACCTCTAAGATCACCGAGCCCAACCATTAAATGAACCTACTTAAAGCTGTGACAGGGACTTTGAAGGGATTTACAAGACTGGCTGCTGCCCTATGGGACAGGCTGAGCACACACTGCCAACATCTGGCAGCACAGCTGTGTGCTGGGGTCCTGGATCCAAGCACACGAGGGCTCCGGGGGCTTCCTTCTCATCTCTGCTGAGAGAGAGAAGATGAGAACTGCAATTTCAGAAATGCATGGCAGCCACTTGTCAAACTTGTTCATCCCCATTCACAGAATAACGTGCTCAGCAAGCTCTGGCTGGAAATTTGTGTGTTGTGCGTGTTTCTGAACACTTCAAAAATTATTGTGTAGGCACAATCATTACCTTGCTTTCAGGCTGTGTTGTGCAGCTGAAACATATCTGGAATGGAGCTGCAAGACTGTATAAAATCCCATCAAGTTCCTTTGGAATATGGGTCTGTGCCATAACTCAGATGAGCTCTGCCCTTTCCCTCATTCTGAGATGATCACAGCACATAACTAGCAGATGTAATTTCGTAAAATGTGACAGTGCTTTTATTCGTTCAAGAAAGACCCATGCCCGAGATCACATATCAACCGTGGCTCCTCTTGGCTCCTAGGGAGACAATTTAGTCTAGATGCCAGGTTGAAATTACTGGCAGAGCAGTAATAGGGAATTCACAGCATGGATAGCAACATACTACACTATTTGGTTTATGGACAAAAGATGGTAGGGTTTCTAACCTTTTCTGTGCATAATTAATAACAATTATATATCTGATTTCAATTTAAAAAAACATTTCACAGTAGGTAACATTCATTCCTATTTCCACAATAAAAATGCTTCTCATCTTATTTTGCTGCTGGTAACCACTATTTATTTATGAACCTTTAATTTCTTTGCTACCAAAATAGTATGTTTGCTTTATTTGGGGACTAAGAAATGCTACCCTGATAGCACTCAAAACAGACACAGCTCTGAAGTTAAATGTAAGTCATAAAGGCAGGAGCTGCCTACTACTACTGTGCTTTTGCAATCATCTAGAGAAAGAAGCCAAATTAAATCAGGTCTGTGAATACTGTAAGACTGAAACTGATTTAATTCCTGTAGGAGAGGATGTGGGCGCTCAGCCTCTGGTTCTTTTTAATCCAATGTGTCTTTAGCAGGGCTACAGCAGCAGTGCTAATTAGGATGAAATGTAATGCAGCTTTATGAGGAACATTTACAATAGTCACCATGCGGAGGCCAAGTTGGACTCGAAGACATTTCAGCAAGAAGGACCTGGGTATTTAAATACTTAAGGGCTTATCTACATCAAGGGGTTCTAGTTCACACTGAGCTGCAGTGTATTAACTGTTCTACATTAGATGAATACAGCTGCCAAGCCTACATGACCACATGCCTCCTACTGCAGCCACAGCTCCTAATTGCTTACACAGAGCAAGGACCGCCTTCAAATTAAGGGCTCGGCATTCTCAACTGGTGTCCCAGAGTCATTTCTGCCACAACCAAGCCATATACAAGGTAAGCACTTTTCTTCCAGCAGATAGCACAGCAGACAGAAATAGTATCAAACACAAATCCTTCTCTGATTTCACTGCATTATCTTATGAAGAGGACTAATTCTCCTGTTTGAGAGCCGTTCCTTCATGCACCTTGCTTTACTTATCTTCCTGTTCATCAGCCTAAGCTCCAAAAAACCTTGTGCACCTTAGATGCTTTCCAAAATAACATGCTATAAAGAACACTGAACTTCAAAAAACACAATAAAACACAATAAACTTCAGGAACTATTGCACATCTTTTCCTGCACAAACTATTCACAAACATACTAAAAATCAGTAACATCAAACACCCAGAGTCAAGTTTTACTGCTGTTAGTAGATAAAACTTATAAACCAAATGATTTTATAAACCACTAGCTATAATACTCTCCTTTTGCCTTTTAAAAATCCTTATACTTCTGTCTGGAAGAAAAATAAATTAAAATCTTATGCTGTTTTCCAGCCTCTCTCCTGAAATTAATTATCTTTTGGTCATAATTCTGAACCATAATTTAGCAAACAACAGATTTTGGAAGTACCTATCACTCAAAGAAAATTCTCTATTCATAAACAGAGAATCCCAACATAATTCCCTATCCTGAAAGTGAAGAAAAAAAAAAAAAAAAGGAACAATTAAATATGACAATATACTAAATACTAGCATGTTTGTTACGTCTTTAAAGAATAAAAAAAGCAATTATCACCTCAAAAATAAGCAATGTCTTGAACACAGCATGTCACATGTTAGCCTTTAGGCATTTGTACAAGCTCCCTTATTCACACACTGGAAAGTTCTCTTCATCAGAGGCAAACACTGGGCACACAATTGCCAAAAAAATTGGAGGGAATTTTTTTGGTAGAAACATAAACCTTCAGCTATTTCACAAGCCTAAAAGTTTACATACCAGCTATGGGGAGGTTCTCAAAGGGTGCTGACAGCTAACAAAGTGCTGGTCAAGCAGCTACAGCTGAAGCTGGGATTCCCACAAAGGTTGAGGTCCTCTTTAAGTTTGTTTGTTTGTTTACACAACAGAACAGTTACTGAGAGAGGCCACTTAAGAGGTTAAAATGGCAAAAAGAGTATCTTCAAATTTCCTGCTAACCAAACTAAACAGATCAGGTGGCTGCAGGGGAGGGTCATCCTTTGATGACCTGTTTGCTGCATGGCAATATTCTCATTGTTAAATTATGAGTCACAGTTTACACAATGAATGACTTTTTTTTTTAACTTATGTAATCAAAAAGTTCAACCAAATGACATTCATTCAACAATGAGCATGGTGAAAAAATATTGAGGAATGAGTTCTTTTTAGCATCTGTGTATTCTAACTTTACATGAATTTAAGATAGACTTTTGAAGACATTGAAACCAGACGCTACCATGACCTACACAAGATAGTAGAGCATTGTAATATGGAATTAAATTAAGATGGTTCACTGCTTGAGGAATCTCACCAAATTTTTATTTTAAATTTTTCAAATTTAGAATCTTTCAGTAGTTAAAAGCACTAGTTCAATTAACTGCCTGTATAAAGGTCTGGACTGAAGTTGAGTCAAACAACTTGATTTCCCCACATACAAACTCAATGCTGGGGTGAGGTTTGCCTGCTTTTTCTCCCTAAATTA